TTAACTACAATTATCATAATGTTTTATGTCGATGTTCATTTACTGCCTGTTGTTGTGTAAGGAAGTTGTGGGAAAAGTTATATCTTTTTTATGAGTGCTTCCCAAAGAGGATCAAATTGCACCTCTGTCATGCAGTCATTGGCCTGTTTTACGTGGAGATTATATATAAATACAAAGTTGTATGATTTTTGATTTGATAGGAGCTGTTTTTCATAGTGATTATGCTCAGGCTCTGGAATCAGACAAGTGTGGATTTAACTGTAGCCTTGCCACTTACCAACTGTGTGGCTTTTACTTCATCTTTTTAGTCCTCTGGTCCCTTATCTGTAAATGAAGATAGTAATATCACTCTATAAGGTGTTTGTGATAAATAAGGTAACACATATAATTTACTTAGCACAGTGCCTGGAATATCAGTTATTATGACTAATAACTTATCTGTCACATACATATATTGTTAAAAATTTATTTCTGGAAAAAAAATATTTTTTCCTAAGCAGAATGTATGTTCTTGCAGTTCAGTGTTAAGAAAGGTATTCTTGTGTTTTGATGCACAAGAAGCTAGAGATTTGTGAATTCTGTATTTGTTGTCCCCACTACCATCTTTTACCACTAAGCCACTTAAAATCCCTTTATCTTTTTATATTTTCTGGTCTAGAAGTTATTCATTATAGCATTTAAATTTTTAAGACTTGTGGGAATTGTCCACTAAATTCTGCTTGTTATTATTAAGTATCAATGAAAATAGGTCCTTGTATTAGTTATCTGTTACTACATAATAAATGACCATAAAACTTAGTACCTTAAAATGACACTGCTATCTCATAATTTCTGTAGGTCAGGAATACAAATGCAGCTCAGCTGGGTTCTGTGTTTCTCACAGGTTGTAATCTAGGTGATAAGAGGGCTGTTGTCAAGGCTCAGCTAGGGAAGAATCTTCTTTCACGTTTATGTATGGAGTTGTTGTCAAGATTCAGTTCTACACGGGCTGTTGAACTTAGGGCCTCAGTTTCTCACTGGTTTTTGGCCAAAGGCCACCCTCAGTTCCTTGCTGTGTGGGCCTCGCCACAGGGCAACTCACATCATGGCAGTTTGCTTCATGACAGCAAGCAAGCAGGAGGCAGAGAGAACACAAGGAAGACACAGTGACAGTTTTTATAACCTAATCATGGAAGTGACAGTCATATCTCCTTTTGCTATATTTTGTTTGTTAGAAGCAAGTCACTAGGTCTTACTGTCAAGGTTAAGAGTACACAGTAGTGTGAATATGGGGGTTAGGGGAATCATCCATCCCTGGAGCCATTGAAGAAGTTGCTATCTCAGTTCTCTTTGTTTTTTCTATCAGTAAACTGTAGCACATCCACAAAAAACAATTTTTTTAGTGTTACTAATGTCCTTATTTTGTCGGTTGTGCCCCTTCAGCAAGGCTGGTAGTAGGAAGAAGAGGGTTTGGAACCTGTCTCTGGTTGTCATTTCCACAGAATCCTTAAATAGCCAATTTAAAGTAAAAGTTTTCATTAATTGAAGATCTATTTAAACCATAACACATTTTACTTTATTTTATTGAGATACTCTCACTTTGTCTCTCTCAGTAGAGTACCATAGCATCATAGCTCACAGGAACCTCAAACTCTTGGGCTCAAGCAATCCTCTTGCCTCAGTCTCCCAAGTAGCTTAGATTACAGGCATCTGCCACAACACTCAGCTATTTTTTTTTTTTTTCACTGTAATTGTCATTGTTGTTTGCCAGGCCCGGGCTGGGTTCAGACCTGCCAGCCCTAGTGTATGTGGCTGCACCCTAGCCGCTGGGCTATAGGTGCTCAGCCCAAATGCCAGTTTTTACAAATTCGATACTACCAGTTTACAGTGCCATCAGCATACCACTATTTAAGCATTCCTTTACCCTAATATTGTCATGTGCTTTTTTGTTTTGTGTGCCATTTTGCACTACAAATGTATTGTGATATCTCATTATAGTTTTGATTTCCATTTTCCAGTAATGTTGAACATCTTTTCATATGCTTATGAAGATTTTGTTCATTTTAAAAATTGGATCATCTTTTTCTTATTGATTTAATTTATAGGGGCTCTTCCACTCTATGGCTTGCCTTTTTACCCTCTTATCGAGCACAAGTTTTTATGAATTAACTTCACTTTCCTAGTCTTTTCTGGTTAGTGGCTTGTGACCTAAGAAGTATTTATCTAGTTCTAGGTCATAAAGATATTCTATTAAGTTATTTTCTAGAAGGCTTATTGCTTTATTTATTACATTTGGGCCTATAATCTGTCTGGAATTGATATTTGTGTAGGGATAGGATTCATTTTTCCATACGAATGCCATGTTGATTAATCACTAAGTTTTGAAAATGCTATCATGTTACTGAAACACTACAGTGGCACTTTTGTCCTAAATAAGGTGATTATATATGTATAGATCAGTTTCTGGATTTTTTATTCTGTGTCATTGATCTTTTTATCTGCGGTGTGTCAATCATATTGTGTCTTAACTACTTTAGCGTTTACACAGGGTGTCCATAAAGTTCATGTGCAGGCTAATTGACGATTTTAATTGCCCATGAACTTTATGGACACCCTGTATTAAATGTTGTTATTAAGTAACATGTCATTCTTCTTCAAATTCTCTTTACTACTCCTGGGCCTTTCCAGTTCCATATAAAACCTAGAATCTCTTAGTTTTTATGGTGCTGTATTCCTCACACCATTCCTTTATGGTGCTGTACTGTTCTAAACTCACCACTTACAAACAACCAAAACAAAACCAAGAGCTGCAAATTTAAATAGTTTTAACTAACAACATTCATACATTAGGCCAATGAGCGAGCCTGGAGGACAGTGACGTTCTATCCTAATGACAATGAGTATGTGTAGGGCCCAGTTCTCGATATTCTATATACCTCTCTCTTCTAAGAACCAGGGCTTCTTGGAAAAATGCCTGATTCCAGGGCTGGGTAGAGGAAATAAATACAAGGTGAACCTGGAAAATCTTGTGCCAGAAAGTAAATAAGTGCCCAGAAAATGACATGGTTATGTCAAGAGTCAAATTAAAGACTTTTCCTGGCCAAATCTAGAATAATCTGAGCAAAATAATGTTCATAACAGATTATAACTCATTGAAACAGATAGGAATCAGTGAGATCACACTGATATAGATAGATGAGGTTAAAAATGAACTTAGAAAAATCGCTGTTTGACAAGGATAATGGTAATTCATTCAACCAAGAAATGTGAATGGATGCTAAAGATTAAACAAAAGTTATTGAAGGAATTCAAACAGATATCTGTATTATCATTATTCACAATGATAAAAAGCTGGAAACAACCACCCAAGTGTCCAAAAACAGATGAAAGGATATACTAAGTGGTGGCATATACAGACAATTGAATAATATAAAAAGGAATGAAAATCCGACAGACATACAACATGGGTGAACCCTTGAAAGCATTATGCTAAATGTGACAGTCCAGACACAAAGGAACAAATATTGAATAACTCCACTTATATGATATACTGAGAATAGGCAAATTCACAAAGGCAGAGAGTCCCTCACCAGGGACAGATGAGAGGAAGAAATGGGAAGTTATTTTTTTTGACAGGTACAGAGTTTTGAGGGATGATGAAAAAGTTCTAGAAATGGATGGTGGCAGTGGTTGTATGACATTGTGAATGTACTTAATGCAAATGAATTATATACCCCAAAATGGTTAAAGTGACAAATTTCATTAACTATATTTTAATACCCCCCCCAATTTTTTTTCATTTAAAAGTTTATTGAGGGGTCACTTGAGGTTGGGAGTTCGAGATCAGCCTGAGCAAGAGACCTCGTCTCTACAAAAAATAGAAAAATTAGCTGCCAGCATGTACCTGTAGTCCCAGTTACTTGGGAGGCTGAGGCAGGAGGATCACTTGAGCCCAGGACTGTGAGATTGCTGTGAGCTATGATGATGCCACTGTAACAGAGTGAGACCCTGTCTCCAAAAAAGAAAATGAAAAAAAGTTTGTTGAAGAATGGGATATTTACACAATCTCAAAGTATTCCCCTACAAAATATGTATTAATTACAAAGAGAAAAAGTATAATTTCATAGCGGAAAATCTGGCAAATACTAACATAACTAAGGGATCAAAGTGAACATAACAGTGCTTTTGTGATATGTTGCCAACAGTGCATGCCTGACTCAAACTGAGAGGTAACATCAGATAAATTCAAATTTAGAAACATTGTACAAAACAACTGGCCTTTAAAAAGTCCTTAAAAGTGGCAAGGTCATAAAAAGTTAAAACTAAGAACTGTTCCAGATTAAGAGATAAAATTGATAGCTAATGCACTACATAATCTGAACCATGTCTTTTTGCTAAAAAGGACATAACTGAGACAAGTGTTGAAATTTTAATGGAGTCTGGATGAGATCACAATAATATAAAATGTTAGTTTCCTAATTTCTATGTTGGTACTGTCAGTCTATAACAGAATGTCCACTTATAGGAAATCATTGTATCAGTGGATGATGGGGCATAACGTCTGCAACTTTCAAATGGTTAAGGAATAGTGTTGTTTGTATTCTTGAAACTTTTCAAAAAGTTTAAAATTATTTCAAATTTTAAAAAAATTACACAAAACTATCTTTCAAAGAAAAACGAAGATAAAAGAATTTGAATAAAGTGGTGATTATGGGTGCAAACTAGATCCCAAAACTAGTACTGTATTAGAAGGCTAATTGCCAAAGAAATGGGAGCCTTGTTCTATTCAGCAAGTTACACAAATATTAAACATCAGACTAAAGCATTTCAAGTAAGTAGAGTTCACCATGTATCAGTTATAATCTTAAAGTGGGAAAATCAGTTTATAGACAAGGACCTTATAATTTTTAGATTTAGAATACAAAAACTAAAGACACGACAAAACTGAATATAAAAATAGTTGCAGAACTAGACGATTTTATTTTGAAAGACTCATGTTTTTCAATGCCTTCTTATTATAGGTGATACTGAACAGGAACTTGGCCCCCCTCCATCTGTAGATGAAGCAGCAAACACACTCATGACTCGTCTGGGTTTCCTCCTTGGAGAGAAAGTCACAGAAGTTCAGCCAGGGGACCAATACAGCATGGAAGTACAGGATGAAAATCAGGTAAGCAGGTTTCTATCAATTTTGTGAAACATAGTACGAATCAGCTTATTATACTAGGAAAAGAAAAATGGTGTGTGTGTTCACTCTGAAAGGAATAATTCTAATTTTGACTGCCTTTTTAGGCCTAGAATACAACTCAATTTTCCATAATCATTATTTTGCTTCAATTTGTGAAACATCTTTTAGTTGCATTCTTAGATTTAAAAACTCAAAAAGCCACCTTTAGGCTTTAATTTATTTACGGAATGAAAGAAAAAAACAAGTAAACAAACAAACAAAATTTACATACATATGAGCAGTGTACCCCAAAATTGCAAAATATGCATTGTTTCTGAATTATTTGCCAAATTGATGATATGCTGGGTCTCAGAGTATGTCTCAGTAAATTTCAAAAGCTTATGACTTCTGTAACCACAGTACAATTAATTAATTATAAAATGACAGCTCAGAAAATGATACCTAAACGATAACTTAGAAAATCCCCCCAAATATTTAGATAATTAAGTAATTTACTTCTAAATAGCCTTTGAGTCAAAGAAGAAATCACAAAAAATTAGAAAATATTTTCAACTGAAATAATAAAAACTAAGTATAACAACACTTGAGGATTAAATATACTTAAAAAGAGTAGTTTTGAATATATGTATTAGAAAAGTATAAAACATAATATATTAGAAAGATAAAAATATTAGCAATTAAACAGTTATTTCTTTTTCTTTTTTTTTTTTTTTTTTTTGGCTATTTCCATTCTTTTCAGTTTAAAATGTAGCAAAGGAAATACTAAAGTCACATTCATTTATGTGGCCTTAATCTTTAACATGAATGTCTTGTAGCAAAGCATTTATTTAGAAGGTGATAAGTTCATTTGAAATGTCATATTTTTAGTAATAAATAATGCTGAAGATGCTACGATATTGTTATGCCTGAAAATATACTCCCAAGTAGCCCCAGCAAACAGTCTGAGACACACTCCGATGTAAGAGGCAAGAGGCGAGGTTTATTCAAACCCGGGTTTGGTCTCTCCTGGCATGCAAGCTGAGGAAGAGCCCTGAACTTGGGGTAGAGCAAGTTTTTATGGGGTACAGAAAGCAAGAAGGGTAGGGTTCATTACGGGTACACTCTTGATTGGTGGTTGGTGATTTCATTAGTAAAGGAGGATTTGCGTTGGTGGTTGATGATTTCACTAGTAAAGGAGAATTTGGATTGGTTCAGGTGAGGGGTGGGGGGTTTCTTAACCGAGGCTAGACATGGTGTAGTCTAATGAGGTAGTTGAAGGAGAATACCTGAATTTCAAGGAAGTAGAAACCTATTGCCTATTATGGGAGCTGTTCAAGGGAACTGATACTTATTGCCCATTATGGCAGCTGTCTGCCTTAGGTGACTCAATTCAGCGGTTTAATGGCTGTGCAACCAGGGGTGGGGGAGGCAGCAGGGAGTGGCCCTGCAGGTTTAACAGAGCTTATGTAGTGGACAACAAAATGGCGCTGGTCTGGCCCTTACAATATATATTAGTTTTGTCATAATAAATGTAAAACAATTATTTGAACATATTTTTTTTTCTGTTTAATGTGAGGGTACAATTGGATTCCAGAGTTTGCCTTAGTTTGATTAAAGTCCGATTAGAAGGTGTATCCTACACCCACATAGTGTGCCATATACCCCTGGAGTGTACCCATTGGGTAGGAATTGACCCAAGCTCTGCCCACCCCACCCTCCCCCTGCTTAAATTTCATTGGGTTTTTCTGTCATGTGAGCATTAACACCTGTTAATCTACTAGTTCCAATTTAGTACTGGGTACATACAGTGTTTGCTTTTCCATTCTTGCAATACTTAAGAGAATGGTCCCTAATACTGTCCAGGTTGTTGCAAAAGACACATAATCTCCATCTTTTTATAGCTAAATATTCCTTGATATATGTATACCACAGTCCAAGTGTTGGAGGGCACGTGAGTTTCCACATCTTTGTGATTGTGAATTGTACTGCTATAAACGTTTGAGCGCAAGTGTCTTTATCAGAGTGCCTTTTTCCCTTTGGGTAAATAACCCAGTAATGGGATTGCAGGATCAAACAATAGGTCTACTTGTAGTTCTCCATACTGCTTTCCACAGAAGTTGCACAAGTGTGCATTCCCACCAACAGTATGTGTTCCTTTCTCTCTGCGTTGGTTCCTTTGGGACTTCATGATGTGAGCTATTCTCTCTGAGGTGATGTGAGCTATTCTCTCTGAGGTTAGGTGATATCTCAGTGTGGTTTTGATTTACATTTCTCTAGTGACTATGAGCATTTTTTCATGTATTTGTTGGGTATCAGACTATCTTCATAGGAAAAGTTCCTGTTCTTATCTCTTGCCCAATTTTTAATGGGGTTCCTGGATTTTATCTTGTTGATTTGCTTGAGTTCTTCATAGATTCTGATTATTAGCCCTTTATCAGATGGGTATCATGCACATATCTTCTCCCATTCTGTAAGTTGTCTTTTTGGTTTGTTGATTGTGTCCTTAGCTGTAGAAGGTCTTTAACTTGATCAGGTACCATTTATTTATTTTTGTTGTTGCCATGATTGCCAGTACAGTCTTCTTCATAAATTCTTTCCTAGGTCAATAAGGTGATAGTACATGTCTGAGTATTCCCTACAGAGCTGGAAGAGCTGACACATTTCCTCCCTGTTTGTTGGTAAAAAGATTGGATTTCTGCATCAAATATGAAACTTAGTTTTGTAGGATATAGGATACTAGGCTGTTACTTGTTTTGTTTGAGAAGATTAATGTATGAGCCTCCTCCCTTCTGGCTTGCAAAGCTTCCACAGAGAAATCAGCTGTTAATCTTGTAGGTTAGATGCGATTTATGCCTGTCTCCTTGCAGAATTTTCTCTTGCATTTTGGCTTTAGCCAGGTTCATTACAACATGTCTAGGACGTGCTGTATTTGAATTGAGTCATCCTAGGGTTTGATATCCACCTAGTAGGCATATGTCTGCATCTTTGGTGATACTTGGGGAAATTTTCAACTATATTATCATCAACTAGAGCTTCTATGCCTTTGGACTCTATTTTCTTTCAGGGATACCAATAATCTGTATGTTTGTGTGCTTTGTATAGTCTCATTACTCTTAAGAGATTCCTCTGCTTTTGCTCTCTTCTTTTCTTTAAATGACTGGGTCAGCTTGAAAGCCTTGTCTTCAAACTCGGAGATTCTTTTTTCTCCATGGTTTAATTTGTTATTGAAATTCTCTACTTTGTTTTGAAATTCCCTAAATGCCTCTTTTTAATTCTTTTGGCTCTATTATTTCCTATCTAATTAGGTCCAGATCCTTGGTGACTTTGTCTTTAATTTCATCAATTTCTTGGGACATTTTTTTGGACTTCTTTTTGCTGGTTTTCTAGTTTCCCTTCAATTTTCTTCATAGTATCTGTTATCTATAATCTGAATTCCATTGCTCTCATTTCAGCATTTTCTTTAAGGTTGGAATTTTCTATAGTAGCTCCATTGTGATCCCTTGGGGGAGCTGATCTGTTTTAGTTCTTCATGTTGCCAGGGTTCTTTTGGTGGTTTCTCAAATATGATTTCTTCTTCTAATTTTTTGTCCCCTTTTTTCTTCTTGAACTCTAGGCATTAGGGTTCAGATGACCCTTTTCCACCTTCTAGAGGCCTCCTATAATCCTTGGTTTGTGGAGCCTTTCCTCTATTTTCAAAGCCAACAGTGTAGTATCTTTAAATCTTTTAATCTCTTTCTCCCCATCTTCTTCTCTAATTGAATAGGTTTATATATCTTGTAGATAATATTTATATGTTCCAGGGCTCTCTCTTCTAGCCTTTCTGTCCTTTTTATCCTCACTCCTTAGCTTATTGATTTTGCTGAGTACACATTATAACCATCTGGAGAATTTTATAAAATTTGGATGCCAAATAGCTCTAATCTTGTTTTTGTTTTGTTTTGTTTTGTTCTGAGACAGAGTCTCAAGCTGTTGCCCTCAGTAGAGTGCTGTGGCGTCACAGCTCACAGCAACTTCAAATTCTAGGGCTAAAGCGATTCTCTTGCCTCAGCCTCCCAAGTAGCTGGGACTATAGGCACCTGCCACAACTCCTGGTTATTTTTTGGTTGTAGTTGCTGTCATTTGGAAGCCCTGGGTTGGATTCAAAGTCACCAGCTCCAGTGTATGTGGCTGGCGCCCTAACGTCTGGGCTACAGGCACCAAGCCATGATAGCTCTAATCTTAATGATTCTCCTCCATTCTTATTTCTTCAAATATTGCCTTAACTCCTAAGTTATCTTTAGCCTTGCCTTTCTCCCTTAACTTTAGATCTTTATATTTAACTCCCTACATTGTGTTTTCTTTGTGTATGTATAAGGTACATGTAAAACTTAATGTGTGACAGACTGAACCCTTGCATTTCCCCTAGCACTTGCTCCTGCTGCAGTGTTTCCTGTCTGAGTAAGTGGTATCACCATCTTGCTTAAAATGAATGCACTGGAGCCATTCTTGACTTCACTCTGTCAGACCTCACATTCATTCTTTCATCACATCACAGACTTGATCTTCAAATGCAGTAGAACCTCCATAGTTGACCACCTCCTTAAATTAACCTAATTCTCATAGACCAAACGTGCACCACATATGCTCAATGGAAATTCCTTGTATTGACCGCCTCCATTTGTTGATCAATTTGTTATAGTCCCTTGGGTGATCACCTTACAGAGGTTCCACTGTATGAAGTCAAACAATTAAGTTCATGAACTCATCCAAGAAGAAGTGCTACTAAGCACTAGCATAGGTGCATCGGTTCCCAAGGGGAGTACTGCAGAGGTAACCATAGTGATATTAGCAATGAGGTGTGTCATACCTTTTCTAGAGTAAGTTTGCAAACTTAATTGTCTGACCTCATATATACTAAATTAGATCCCATCTTGCTACTTCTGTTGCTACACCTAAGTTCAAGCCACTATTGTCTTTGCCTGCACTACTGCAATAAGTACTAGAATGTAAGGCTAGAAGGTGTGGAGTTTTGCCTGTTCTACCCACTGCTGTGTCCTCTGCACCTAGAATAGCGTCTGTTATTATTACTAGGTACTCATTAAGTATTGACTATATGAATAAATGACCTCCCAATAGGTCTCTGATTCCACTCTTGCCCCTTTTTGGTCTGTTAACACAGTGGCCACTGATCCTTATAAAATGTGAATTTGATTCTGTCACTTTGCTTTTAATCTTCCACTGTATTCCCATCACACTTGGAACAAGATCTAAAATTTTTACCATGGACTGGAAGGACCTACCTAATCTAGCCACTTGCTAGCTCTCTTACCTCATTTCCTGCCTTTCTTCCTTTTACCCACTGCTCTCCAGCTACACTAGCCTTCCTTGTCAGTGCCCAGAAACATAAAGCATATTCATTTGTAGTGGAATACTCTTCCTACATAATTCATTTCCACACTTCATTCAGTAGTGTACTCAGGTATTACCTTCTCAGAGAGGTCTTTCTTAATTATTTTATCTAATAGCACCTTTCCATCCCTGTGTCCTCCTATTTTCTTTTCTCTTTCTTTTTTTTTTTTTTTTTTGCATTTTTTTTGCCAGGGCTGGGTTTGAACCCACTACCTCCGGCATATGGGGCCAGCACCCTACTCCTTTGAGCCGCAGGCGCAACCCTACTTTATTTTCTTTATGGTTCTTGTCATTAAATGACATTACATCATGTGTTTAGCTGTGGGGATTTTGTCTGTATCTCATACAAGAATCTGTACTTGAGGATGACAGGGCTAATGATTTTTTAATCAACATGTAATGATATTAATATGCTATGCTGTGAATAAAAACGGAAATAATATTGTTGAGGGATATTTTTTAATTTGTATAAATAAAACAACTTTTTCTTTTCATTTCTTGATATTCACAATAAGTTAAAATGTAACTGTTCTAATTATGACCAAGTAACATGATGTAAGTCATATATAATATATTATACCTGGATTATTTGCCAAAGACCCTATTGTTTCTACAAATCTACATTTCTTTAGGTGGTAAAATTTATACCTGTTTTTTTGAGATACTGTATGTCACAATCATTTCTGAATAAATCTACAAGTAGGTGGAGTGTACCTTACTTGTACATTACAAATAAAATAATCTTAAAATGAGTGGAATCATTGGTTTAATATAATTAAAGCAACATGGTATAACAGAAAAGTCATCGAACCAGGAGGGAGAATACTCGTGTTCTAGTTCCAACTCTTAACACCTACCATTCTAGAAATTTGTACGGGTCATGTAAGCTCGCTGAACTTTAGATTTTCTGTAGGTAATAATAACTGACAATTTTTTAAATGCTCACTTTGTACTAATCATTGCACTAATTGCTTTACTTGCACTATTTTAAGTTCCTTAGAACCCAGTGTGGAGTAGGGCTCTTTTATATTTTAATTATCAGATGAGAAGATGGAAACACCCTGTGAGAAAGTGTTGGATTAGTATTCCTATCTAGGCAGTCTGCTTTTATAACCATGTTCTTACCAGCTACACCATACTGTTCCAGTACAATATGAAACTATGACACCTGACAAGATTGTTGTGCAATCAACATATTTTCATGTTTCATGAATATGAAAATAGCTTCTAAGCTCTAAAAATGTCACATAAATAAAAAGTATAAATACTGTGCAATGTAATTAATATATAAATATATGCAGGAACTGTATGATTTTAGCAGCATTACTGTATAACTTTCATATTTTTTGTTGTTCATTGTCACATTTCCTAAATGAGGGAAATAAGATTCATTATGCGTCTCATACTAGGTTGAGAAGGAGTAAATGAAATAATACATGTAAATCTTTTAAGCTATTAAGCATTACATAAATATAATGTATTAATAATGAAGTTAAATGATAGCCTCTTGCAATATAATATAACAACTCTCTTAGAACCATAAGAAAGTGACTTAATTGATCATTGGAATGTCTAGTCTTAGGAAGATTATTAAGAACTAGGAGAGGCTCGGCGCCTATAGCTCAACCGGCTAAGGTGCCAGCCACGTACACATAAGGTGGAGGGTTTGAATCCCCAGCCCGGACCTGCCAAACAACAATGACGGCTGCAACCAAAAAATAGCCGGGCGTTGTGGCGGGCGCCTGTGGTCCCAGCTACTTGGGAGGCTGAGACAGGAGACTCGCTTGAGCCCAGGAGTTGGAGGTTGCTGTGAGCTGTAATGCCACGGCACTTTACCCAGGGGGATAGCTTGAGGTTCTGTCTCAAAAAAAAAAAAAAAAAAAAAAGAACTAGGAGATTGGGCAATACCTGTGGCTCAAGTGAGTAGGGCACCGGCCTCATATACTGAGGGTGGCAGGTTCAAACCAGGCCCCAGCCAAACTGCAACAAAAAATAGCCGAGCTTAGTGGCGGGTGCTTGTAGTACCAGCTTGCCTAAGCCCAAGAGCTGGAGGTTGCTGTGAGCTGTGTGCCACAGCCCTCTACTAAGGCAACAAAATAAGACTCTATCTTTAAAAAAAAAAAAAAAAAAGAACTAGGAGATCATGTTTATTTGGTGACTTTCTTCTGAGCTATGCAGCATTCTAACAAAGATAGACTACTGTGTTTAAGAAAATCCCATAGTGATGGAATCCTCAGAATAGTATAATGATGGCAGAATATAATGTAAGCTAGTCAGCATATATCATTTTTCTGCAAAAGACAAAGTAGTAAAAGTGATACTCAACTATTTTCTTCTCGCAGTAGTTTCTAGAATATTAAGATGGACCTTACGAACCCCATCATTTGATTCTTACCCTATGTATTCATAGGACCTTTAAGAGATCCAGATTTGAACCTTTATTAGGATCCTTTTGAAGAACATTAAGGACAGTGGGAAAACCACTAAAAGATTTTAATTAGATGTCCATTTTAACCTACATTATGGGGAATAGGTAGTTTTGTCTTTCTGTATCTCATTGAGTAGTCTTCTTAAATCAGTGTAAAGCCTGCCTTTTAATTCATAACCCATGAACAATTTTCTGCTTTCTAAATGGCTCAATATTTAAGGTGGTTTTTTTTTTAATAATTAATGCTCTTAGAGAATCCATTCTGTTATTGGTGCTTTATTTTACAAAAAATATTTTGTTGTAAAAATACAAAGTGTTGTTTGGATGTAGCCTCTGTTTTAGCTGTATTATGCATGTAATAAGACTGACTTTCACAAAGAACAGAGTGAGAATCTTGTCTCAGTACAGAAATGAATTGTTGTACAACATTTGCAACATGGGATGAGTAGAGACATAGCTAATGTAAAGGACCTGAGTGTAGTTCATTTCATCTACCCACCTGTTCCTCAAACTTTAGGGGTAGAGAGGTTAAAAATTGCATACTAAATTTCTAACCCGAAGGATTCTAATTCTGTAAGTCTAGGGTGAGGCTCAGTAACTGTCAGTTTCGTGAGAGAGCATGTTCATTCTTTACATTTCACGTCTGAATCTAATGTGTGCCTAGTTAAAAATCATCACTCTGGTAGCCCAACATCATTTTATAGAAATAGAGGAGATCACAGAGAAATTAAAACTCCCCTGTCCTCTGAAGAGATGAAATATAATAGAAGAGAAATTTGCATAAATCCAAGGACTTGTGTTATTAAGAAAAATCAGTTTCTGATATTATATATATGATTGAAAAGATTTACTTGGTTGCAGGATAATGAGAATGTCATTTGTGCTGGGTTAAGTTGAATTTATCTTTCACAACCTGCTTATAGTATTTGTGTTAAAATCAAAACCTCTATTCAACACAGATGATTAATTACAAGGGATTGCACCTGGAAATCATTTTAGGCTAAATTGAAGAGCTTCAATATTCTCATAATTAGTTATAAATGCATTCTCCAGTTATCAAATTTTAGCAGGAAAAAATTAGCAAAGAAAACATGAATAGAGACTTTATATGTAAAAAGGTTAAAAGGATTCTTTTAAATTTAATATTTAAAGATATTCAATTTATCATTAATGTTTCTTCAAGTGATTTTGTCACTGATCACTTACTGTTCTTAAAAAGGATAAAATTTCTTTAGTGTTTGAAAAATACATACTTTTATTCACTGTTGCAGTAATTTATTTGGATAGAAAACTGAAGAAAAATGAATTGTCATTAAATTAGGTAAACCAGAATATATTACTAACTTTTTTGAGAAATTATTCATTACTTTACCTCAGAAATTACAAAGACGGTACATTGATTTCAGACTGTTCAGCTTCTACAGAGAAATTTTATAGTTTTGTATTATATAAATATTGTTTGATCTATTTTATTAGACAGACTTTTAGAATAAGGCATTTTTCCTTGCTTTTATTTATTATCTCTGGGTAGCTGCCTGTGTATCAAAAAGACACTTCTTTGTATTAAGAACTTTATTTTTATTTTTCCTCAACTGCAGATATTCTTTTTCTTCATCTAAAGAAAATTATTAATAAGACATACTTCAAGCTTTCTGAAAAGTTTTATTGCTTATAGGGAAAACTTGCAAAGAAAACTTGTGCTTAATAAAATAAAAAAATTCTCTATTCTATTAGAGTGGCAGTGACAGAATACTTGTTACTGGAAATTTCCTAGGCAGAAAAACTGGGCATATCTCTGCTTATGTTAAATTCATTGAGTTTCACCTTAAATGTAGAGCTCCAAACCTCTTATCCTGGAAAGCAAAAATGAATAGAGGTTAATAAATGTAAAAGCTGTGTATGTAGATTATTTCTTTTCTTTTTTTTTTTTCTTTTAATCAAAGCACTTATTTTACCTTAACATATATTTTATTTAACAGCTGGTCAGTGTTTCTTATTTATGATTCTAATTTTCCAGACCTCAGCAATCACCCAGCGGATAAGTCCCTGTTCCACCCTGACTAGCAGTACTGCCTCTCCACCAGCCAGTAGCCCCTGCTCTACCCTCCCACCAGTCAGTACAACTGCAACTGCCAAGGATTGCAGCTATGGGGCTGTTACTAGTCCAACCTCCACACTTGAAAGCAGAGATAGTGGCATCATTGGTGAGTTGGTTTTTATTTTAATAATTCTGTGAACTTTTTTCCTTTTTAAGATAACTATACAAGTTTAAGGTTTTAAAAAGATTCTTTTCATGCCTGTAATCCTAGCACTCTGGGAGGCCAAGGCAGGTGTATCGCCTGAGCTCAGGAGTTTGAAATCAGCCTGAGTAAGAATGAGACCCTGTCTCTACTAAAAATAGAACTAGCCTGGAGTTGTGGCTGGTGCCTATAGTCCCAGCTACTGGGGAGGCTGAAGCAAGAGGATCTCTTAAGCTCAAGAGTTTGAGGTTGCTGTGAACTATGACACCAGAACACTCTATCTAAGGTGACTGTCTTCCCCCCCACCCCCAAAATTTTTTTTCCTTTTGAACTATTAAGAGATTAAAACTTACTCCTGGTGAGAGAAACTTAAAGGTATACAAAAATGAAAGGTATCCCTCTCAGCCTAGCCACTCCTTCTCAGGCCATTACTTGATAAGAAAGCGTGGATAAGAAAGAAATTGTCTGCTTCTTCCTATAAATTCACATACATGATCTATCTACCAAGAAAAGTGGTTCAGAAGAGTTCATTCCTCACTGGTAGAGAGTTTTTTGAAAACAAAAAAGAAGAGATTAAATGGCTACATACTTATAATTGAGTTGTTCTGAGATCTCTTTGCATAAACTATGTATCAGTTCTTTGATTAGTTTGAAAGGTGCTTTTAGTCTTTGTTTTTCTTGTCAATAAGAAATCTTGTTTTACCTTCTGCAAAGTAGAAGAATGCTACTTCTTTGCTTATGATTCAGGAATCTTAGACTAATATGTTCTTATGGCAAGCTTGAGCAAAAGGGAATTTGAAACTTGGAAGTATCCAAGCAGAGAAATGTGCTATCTCATCTTTCTATTGTGAATTTTCTAATACCTTTCTTTACAAAAGATCTAGTCACCTTCTTGGTCCTAGAAATATCTAAAATATCTTCAACTCAATTATTAGCAATTTACAGCAGATACAAAAACCACTCTGATATAAAGGCAGTGCTGATGGGAAATTATTACCTCTGTTAGACTCTGGGTATACATTTCATCAGAGCTAGTAATGTGGACTGCTGTAGACTCATTTATATTTAGGGCATAGGCCATCATCATCTATATGTATTGCAATGATTTAATACCTACTGCTATAAAAATTATATAGAATATTTTTAGCTCAGGTGATCTTTCATCATATTCAACATTCTGAGTATCCTTTCTAGAGTATTTTTTCCTACTAATGCTTTTTTACTTAATTAGGGAGAAAGTATTAAATATTTATAACTCATTAAGACACTGTCTGCTCTAACTGCTGATCTTGTAGTTAGGTATGAAGCAAATAGAAGTAGGGGAAGAACATAGTTCTGAGACTTGTTAGTTTATCTTGTTATCAAGTTGTTGTATTAATGATTCAGATATTGAACGTCATTCTTTATCATTGGTAGTTAAATACTTCAGAATGCTTTAAAAAATTACATATTCCTTAATAATGGGGTTCCCAAGTAGACTCCTTTTTACAAATAGTCTGTGCACATTTTTTAGGCAGAGATAAGAATTTAGCAATACTCCAAGAGGATAAAATATCTACCTAATAAAGGAAGCTGGGCTTCTGTCCAAAAGATAAATAGCACTTCTGGGTATTTCTTTTCCTCTTGACAAACAGATAATGATAATGTCATAGTCTCCAACCAGCTTTATGTAGCACAAAGAAGTAAAAGAAAAAAAATAAATGGTAAGAAAAATAATTTAAATTAAGAATTCTTTGATTAAAAGTCATTTATGGCTAAATTAAAATTTAGTTGTGCCTATATTTCTCTTGAGACCCCCAAAAAGTATAGTTTTGTACCAACCCCAAATAAGTATTTAGGGGAATGGTATAAATAGGGGAATGAATGTATTTTGTCATTCAAGGCTGGAGCATGCTACTTCTTAGTATTGCACATGTGAATTTCTGGTTTACATTTACATATAGAGAGACAAAACAAAACATACTAGAATTTGCTTAATGTAGCTTAGTAAGAGCTTAGAAGGAAATTCATAGCATTAAATGCCTACTTTCGAAAGAAGAAAGTTTTTAAATCAATAACCAAATTTCCACTTAAAGAAACTAGAAAAACAAGAATTTCAACCCACTGTACACAAACAGTAGGAAATAGTAGAGAGCAAAAAACAATGACATAGAAGAACAATAGAGGAAAACCAGGAAACTAAAATTCAGTTGAGAGAACCAGTAAAGTTGATAAACCTCTAGCCATAATGATCAGGAAAAAAAACAAACAAGTTATCAGTATCAGGAAAAAAACATCATTGCAGGCCTTGCAGACATTAAAAGATACTAAAAAAATGTCATCAACAATTTTAAAATTAATAAATTTGATAGTTTAGATTAAGTAAATAAATGCCTTGAAATAAAATACTAATGCTCACTTGATAAGAAAGAAATAATGGGAATAACCATTAAATATAAATTGAATTTGCTGTTTAAAATTTTCCCACAGGAAAAACTCTTGGTCCAGATTCCTTGCCAGGTAAATTCTAGCAAACATTCAAGGAAGAAATAATACTATTTTTATACAAACACCTCCAGGAAGTTAAAATAGAAGTAAAACTATGAGGCCAGCATTAAGCTAAGAGCAAAGACAATATGTGGAAAGGAACTATAAACAAATTATTTGTCATGAACATAAACATTGAAGTTCTTAACAACAGTCTAACAAATTGAATCTAATATGTAAAAAAGATAACAAGTTGTGACTAAATAGAGTTTATACTTGGAATGTGGAGTTGGTTCTGCATTCAAAAATCAATCAGTATATTTGGTTATTAAGTATGAAATGTCCAATTTTGTTAAGTATTAAGTTTGACAGTTGATACCTCTGACATTTCACTTTGACACTTCGTTTTTTGTGTTTTCAATTGTGAAGGTACACCCTCCCTCTTTCAAACACACAGTTTGGCTTGTGATACCTTTCAGAAAAATTTTTAGAGTAATTTTGTGAAACTCCAGATAGTAAATATGTGCTATTTTTGAATTATAAGTTTTGTTGTAAAACAAATGCAATGGAGGCAGCTTGTAATATAAACTGAATATTTGAGAAGGATGTCACTAATGAATGCACAGTACATGGGTAATTTGAGGATTTTCATTCTGGTGATTTTAATCTTGAAAATGAGCCATGGTAACCTGAGGCCAAGATGAATAACGGTGAGCTAAAAGCTGTAGTAGAAGCAAATCCATTTCAGTCTACAAGTGAATTATCAGCAAGATTTGATGTTACTATTCCAATAATATTGGACCATTTGGAATTGACAAGGCAAAAAAGCTAGATAAATGGATTCTGCGTAAACTATATGAGTGTCCCAAGAGAAATTGTCTGGACATTTGCCTTTCTTTGCTGTTATGTCCTAAAGGTGAACCATTATCTACACTGTATTGTTATGTGTGATGAAAAATGGATACTTTTTGGCAATCACAAGTATTTGACACAATGGTTAAAAGATGTAGTGGTGAAACACTGTCCAAAACTAATTGTTCATCAAAAATGGTAATGGTGTCTGTTTGATGATCAAGCGCTAGTATTATCCACTATAGCTTCATGAAACTTGGTCAGTCAGTTACGTGGGTGTCCACAGCAACCAAGTGGATGACATGATGAGGATGCTTGTCTTTAAGCAGCTGAGATTGGTTAATAGAGACTGGCCAATCCTCTTGCAAGACAATGCTGTTGTACAAACAACATTGCTTAAACTACAAAAGCTGGACTTGGAAACTCTGTCACCCACTGTATTTGCCAAACTTTGCACCAACTGACTACCTCTTCTAAGAAAAAGTATTCAGTTCTCAACAAACTAGGAAATGCCTTTTGCAATTCCGTGGCCATTTGGTCTGCAGCCTTCTTTGCTGCTGGCATACACAAACTGCCATTAAGATGGCAAAACGGTGTCAATAGGTGAAGTGCTTACTTTGATCAATTGTATTCCTTCTTGATTAAGATATAATAAACTAAGCTTTTGATTTGAAATAGAACATTTTAGATTTAATGACCTAATAATGTATCATAATAATAGACTGAAAAAAAGAACTATATGGCCATCTAATAGATGCAAAAAAAAAAATCATTTGACAAAAACACTGAATAAACTAGGAATAGAAGAGAATTTTTTCAATTTGATAAATGGAAACTATGAACAGCCCACATCCTACTCGATACGTAACGGTAAAAAACTGAATGCTTTCCCCTGAAGATCAAGAGCAAGGAAAGGGTTTCTACCCTCTCTACTTTTATGCAATATTGTGCTGTCAGTCTCAGTCTGTGAAATTAAACAAGTAAAATAAGTGCATAAAAGGCTGCCATGTTGGAAGGGGAGAAGTAAAACTGTCTTTATTCCCAGACAACATCATTTTCTTTTTAGAAAGTTTAAGAAATCTGCCCTCTGAAAAATCACATCTACATTTTCTTTCACTTCTAAATGAAATTTAGAACTTCTATATTGAATGTAGGTAACAAATCAAATTTCGAGCAGTATTTATGACTTTGTCACCAATAAAAATCTTGGATATTTTCATATTACTTGTAGATGTAACAAAATATCATTTGCATTTAATGCCACCTTGAAATTATAGTAATTATACTGTCAATAGATCTTATAGTTCAACTGTTAATAATGAGACTTGCAAATTACAATGTCACAATTTAGTTTTTATTTTGATTACAGTATTTCAACACAATTGGTCTGTAGTCTTTTGTGTTTTACCTTAGGCATTTAAAAATAGTATTCTGGAACGAGTCTTTTTAGGCATCACCAGAGTATCTTAAGGTAGTCTGTGACATAAAAAAAAGTTTAAAAACACCTTGCTCTAATTTATTCTACTCACTGGAACCAAAGTAATCTTTTCAAAATGCAAGTTTAATCATGTCCTTCAAAATCCTTTAATCATTTCCTTAATTGTCTTTAGTATAAACAAAATAAAATCCAGTCCTTTTAATGTGGTTTAGAAGTTCCAGTCTAATTTGGACTATATCTCCTCCCCATTGCTTCACCAGGTGGTGTGCTGTGGCCAGCTAGCACCAGTAAGATCCAGTTGTTTCAGTAATTTTGTGAACAAGTTATTAAATCATAGATAGTGTGAAATCAGCCACCAAGCAAATGTTTACACCATTGAGATCAGCAAACACAACAAATCAGAATTTTGTTTCTTGTTTCATTTTTCAGAGAGCCAGTTGTAAAAATTTTATCAGTGAACCACTGGCCCCAACTCCCAAGTTCTAGCCTGTTGAACTAACTTGATTCTGTTAAAGAACTTTGCTGTCTCTTGCCTCTATGCCCTTGCACATTTTCCTCTTTGGTTTTTTGTTGTTGTTGTTGCTGTTTTGAGATAGAATCTCACTCTGTCACCCTGAGTAGAGTGTCACGGCATCATAGCTCACAGCAACCTCAAACTCTTGGACTAAAGTGATCCTCTTGCCTCAACCTCCTAAGTAGCTAGGACTACAGGCACCTGCCACAATGTCCAGCTAGTTTTCCTAGTTTTAGTAGAGATGGGGGTCTCACTCTTGCTCAGGCTGGTCTCAAACTCCTGTGCTCAAGCAGTCCACCCACCTTAGCCTCCCAGAGTGCTAGCCAGGATTACAAGCATGAGCCACCGTGACCAGCCTTTCTCTTTGGATTATACATTATTTTCCCATCTTCACCTGATGGACATGACTTAGGTCACAAAAGTGTTGTTCCCTAACCTTAGTTTGGGTTAGATTTTAATCTCCTTTCTCATAAAGCAGGCCTCTCCCTTTTTCCAATGGATAAAGTAAACCAAGCATAGATAAAAGACCAAATTCAGGTTAATATGAAATTATTATCTGAAATCACTGGAGTTGGGTTAAGTATTAGAAGGGTTTTTATTGACGTCTTTATTCATTATGGAAATGTAGCCTTCTCAAATAGTGAGCTGATGGTTCAGTATCTGTTTATTAGGCAGTATCCTAAAATGGAAAGCCTGACTGGTCTCTTCCACCTCTTCCCCTAACACAAATACAAAGCACATTCTAAAATACTGAAAGTATAGTTCTATATTCCTAGGACACGTTTAAACTCTTTACTAGTACTGAATCTATTCTTCAGAGCAGAGCTTAGCTTATGTATTTGTAAAATACTGTGTCTTTTCATTATGCTTTTCTTCCCAAAGTAGGCAGTTTCTCTGCTTAGTAATTTCCCAGGTAAAATACACACATATATTTTGTGTGTTAAGTGCTAGACAAAAATGCACTGAAGAATGAGGCCATTTATTTTACTGCTCTTGTATTTCATGGTTAATGTTTGAGTGTCTTCTCAAACTGCCAGATCACCTGAGTGTTCACTGCTCACTAAATATATTTTTTAGATGGCAGTAGGGCTTTATTTAGCCTGTGTACTCTCCATCCCTCTTTTTATCGTGTGGGTACTTTTAGAACTTAGTAGTAAAAGTTTAAAAATTTTTTAAATATGAAAAAAACTTAAAGTACAATTTCTACTTTCTGTAATGCACAGTCAAGTAAAGGGGCTAAGGTCTACTTACAGAAGAATTAAGTAACAATATAAGGTAGTAAATGATTAAAACCCCAAGTAATTAGCTGCTTGAGAGACCACTTGCTAGCTATATGACAGCAGGCAAGATGCCTAATCTCTTCAAACGTTGGTTTCCTCATGTATATAATGAAAATAGTAATATCAGTCCTGTTTAGAGTGTTGTATTGATGATCAAATAAGATGTTTATGCAACTTAAAAAGTATAAAATGATAAATAAATTTTAATTTATTGTGATTAATTGTAGTATTAAAGTTTATGACATAATAGAGAAGGAAGAACATCATGCTTAATGCATATCTGAGCTTCTTCTGGTGTGTTATTTCTTTATTAGTTATCAAAAAAATTTGGCCTTTTAGGTTGTTAGGCCCTGGAGTTACTTTTTCAATTCCTAATTTGTTCTCTGAGTTCTTCCTTTTGAAAGATTTTGTGAGTTTCAGAAATTAGTTTCCTTTCTTTTTCAGATTTATTACCGCCACTTACTGTTTTCTTGTTCCCAGAGATGGGCCAAAAATGTAGGAACATAATTTTCTCTGTTTTGTTTTTATTAATTGTCTCCCCAGAATGAGAATAGAGTGGCTGTTCCTTAAGGCTTTTACAAATAATCAGTAAGAGGGCAATAAAAGATATAAAAATTTAGCTTTCAAAATCTTATAAGATTTCCCAATGTATTCTGTGATGGTTCTAGTTTCCCTTCTCAGGTGGGACCCAAAGCACATGCACTCTTCTCTCTTCTAACTCTGAGGGTTGAGTTTAGAAAATTTTCCTTTTTCCTACTTCTCCACCTTACCTAGCTCACTTAGGTTTCTTTTCTACAGGCTTTTACTTTCTGTGACAACAAAATCAAAGTCAGATTTTCTGTCTTAAAAGAAAAATTTGTTTTCCTTTATTCATGTTTTCCTCATACTGCTACAATATCTAGAACACCTTTCAAATTTGCAGAGAAAGAACCTTACTAAAAAGGACTGTGGAAATAATCTCATGATGTAGGTTAGGTCTTGTCTTTTGCCAATAGGTACATTTTTTTTTTTTTTTGAGACAGTCTCTCAAGCTGTCACTAGATAGAGTGCTATGGTATCACAGCAACCTCAAACTCTTGGATTTAAGCCTCAGCTTGCCTCAGCCTCCCAAATAGCTGGGGCTACAGATGCCTGCCACAAAGCCCGGCTATTTTTTGGTTGCATTGTCATTGTTGTTTGGCAGACCCGGGGCCAGGTTGGAACCTGCCAGCCCCAATGTATGTGGCCATTGCCTTAGCTGCTGAGCTATGGGCACTGAGTCACTAGTAGGAACATTTGATGTATAAGAAGGAAAAATGAACTGACATAGAAAAACTCTCCTGGGATGACTCTCTTTTAACCTTCTTTTATTCTTGTTTTATGATTTCTTTTTCTTTTCTTTTCTTTCTTTTTTTTTTTTTTT